GCTAGTCATGTATCAGCATGTGTAGGATCGGTCGTGGAGGGTTCCCCTTCCCCGTCTTGATTTGATATCGGCAAGAGTTAGAGAATTCATCAATACTTGCATGGTCCAGGCCCTAGTTTAAGTGTTTGACTACTCCTGCCGGCTGCCACTAGCTTGCCCTCCTGATTAACTTTGGATCCTGCAGTCCTACACCTAAGTCCTAAATCCTAATTAACTTTTGGCAGGAATGGTTTACTTCGTTGGAGATCAGTTCTTGCCTTCTTGATTAAAGATCACAGTATAGCAGTTCATTCGGACAGGACACAAGACTAGGTGAGTTAGATGGTTCATCTAATTGCCAAATATTGGCGCATAATCTCTAATTGATATATGCTGACAGCTGCCCTATCACTTTAATTTTATTTTATTCATCTTTCGTATCTTGTTTCTTCAATAAAACAGATTTGAATCATCATGGGGAGAATATTGATTACGAGGATATCATTGAAGATTTCACTTCAAAGAATACTAAAAGAATGATGTTGTTCAAATAAATATTATACAACATGGAGTTGAATCGGAATGATTTTTTATGTAACCAATTGTTATGTAAGACATTATATCATACACATTATAATTGTTCGTTTGTTCTTTTTTCTAGTTAGATAGGGTCCATTTTTTAGTTTCGCACAGGGCCCCGGATTTTACCGGCCCAGCCCTAGGCGTGAATGCTTATGAGGTGACAAATACGCTGCCATATACAAACCCGACAATGATGAAAACAATGTGAAATTCATCGAGGTTATATGCACACAACCACACAACAACGTAGAGAGAAATGATAAGAGCCAAGAAAAATGGTGTTATCAAAGAATATGGACAAAGAAAGACATAGTGTAGAAGGTCTAGAAAGCAAGAGAAAAACTAAGATATTTGTTGCATCTGAAAACCAGACAAGTGTTGCACAGTACATATATTTACATCTTTTGGTCGTTCCGTAGCGATGAATTGGTATTCTAACAGTGAGAATAATTGGCATATACTCTCGCCCATGTTTATTTCGTATTGTTCTGAAATTTGGAAAATGTCATTTGAATGGGTTTGGAAGTACGAGACAATTTGCAAACCTGAGTTTTTGAGTTTCTTGATTTTTTAGTGACATATATGTACTGAATGAGTAACCACAAAGTAAAGTAATAGGAAGGATGTGGAGGCAGTATCATTATTTCAGAAAAAATAGTAGGCAAGGACTTCAGATTAAGAAAAAAATCGATCACTGATTGCACATCACTTCAGATTAAGAAAATAATAATAGGCAAGGACAAAAAAACTGACGTATGAGAAGTTGGATCGAGTCCTAGCGAGCGTCGACTAGGAACAGAAGTTCCCCCTGGTAACAGTCCAAGCGTTATCTCGCGGTAACTCTGACCACACCCCTTTGCTGGTTGACTCTGGTGAGGCAACGCATGTGGGTAATAAAAATACCTTTTCTTTCTAACTAGCATGGTTTGAAAGAGAAGGTTTCCCAAATCTGATAGCCAGGAAATGGGCGATAGATGCAAGGGGGAGGTCTTCTATTGAGAGATGGCAGAACAAGATTAGGAACTTGAGGAGTTTCTTGCGAGGGTGGGCTAAGCATCTCAGTGGGATCTATAAGGTTGAAAACGAAAGGCTCCTTACACTTATTCAGTCCCTAGATTTAAAAGCCGAGTCCACAATTTTACAAACCTCGGAGCTTCATGCTAAAGTAGACGGGAGATGAGATTGAAAGAACTTCTGCGAGAAGGGGAGTTGAAGTGGGCATTGCGAGCTAAGGTTCGCAAAGTTGTCCAAGGGGACGCTAACACTCAATTCTTTCATATGATCGCCAATGACAAGTATAAAAAGAAAAGAATTTTTCAGCTTCAGTAAGACGAGGGGACGATTTTAGGGAAGGAAAACCTAAAATTATACATTACCAATTACTACAAGCAGCTATTTGGGCCTCCAAAGGATAATTTTGTGTCCTTGGATGAGTCTAGGATTGAGGATGTGCCTCAGCTGGCTGCGGATGAGAACGATGTTTTAACCGCCCCATTTTCGAAGAAAGAGGTGTTTGAAGCGATTTCACAGATAAAGAATAATAAAGCTCCAGGTCCGGATGGATTTCCGGCGGAGTTTTATAAAAAATGTTGGCACATTAATAAACGCTCCATGATCTATTTTCCAGACAGCTTCAGTTGTTTCATTTGAATTTTGGAACAATAACTTTGCTTCCGAAGAAAACAGAGGATGTGAGAATTGAGCAGTTCAGGCCTATCTGTCTTCTTAATGTTAGTTTCAATTTTTCTTACCAAGGTTGGGACTAATAGACTCACACAGATTGCACACTCTATGGTGCAGCCGACCCAAACTGCTTTCATGCCAGACAGAAACATCCTAGAAGGGGTTGTGGTCCTTCATGAAACGCTCCATGAAATCCATACGAAAAAACTAGACGAGGTTGTTTTCAAAGTGGATTTCGAAAAAGCGTACGATAAAGTCAAATGGCCATTTCTGCAACAGACTTTGCGCATGAAGGGTTTCGACCCGGCTTGGAGGCACCAGGTTGAATCGTTCACGCAAAAAGGAAGTGTTGGGATCAAAGTAAATGACGACATAGGTCACTATTTCCAGACACACAAGGGCCTGAGACAAGGAGATCCAATGTCACCTATTCTGTTCAACATTGTAGTCGACATGTTGACAATTCTAGTAGGAAGGGCAAAGCAGGCTGGTCAAGTAGGTAGCCTGGTACCTCATCTAGTTGATGGAGGGGTGTCCATCGTATAATACGCCGACGATACTATTATCTTTATGGAGCATGACTTGGCAAAAGCGAGAAACATGAAGCTGGTATTATGCTTATTCGAACAAGTGATCGGGTTAAAGATTAACTTCCACAAAAGCGAATTGTTCTGCTTCGGAAGAGCCAAAGAGGAGCAAGAGGCGTACAAGCAATTGTTCGGGTGTGAACTAGGAGCTTTACCTTTCACGTATTTGGGTATACCAATTCACCATCGTAAGCTAATAAATAGAGAATGGAAGTGTATTGAGGATAGATTTGAAAATAAACTGAGTTGCTGGAAGGGCAAGCTGATGTCGTATGGGGGCTGATTAAATCTCATTAATTCGGTACTCACGAGCATGCCTATGTTTCTCTTGTCTTTTTTCGAGGTACCAGTTGGACTTCGGAAAAGACTGGATTTCTATCGATCCCGCTTCTTCTGGCAGAGTGATGACCTGTAAAGAAAGTATAGACTCGCTAAATGGAATATTATTTGTCGACCGAAAGACGAAGGGGGTTTAGGTATCGAAAATCTAGAGGTTAAAAACAGATGTCTTCTCAATAAGTGGCTGTATAAGCTATCTGTAGAGTCGGAGGCCACGTGGGCGCAAATTCTGCGTAATAAGTGCCTTCATTCAAAAACTTTGTCCCAGGTGACAGTGAGGCCGACGGACTCGCCTTTTTGGAAAGGGCTGATGAGAGTTAAATCTGTCTTTTCAACAGGACAAAGTTTCTAGTCGAAAACGGTACTTCTACAAGATTCTGGGAGGATACATGGCTAGGGGAAACACCCCTCGTGCTTCAATATCCTTTCCATTATAGCATTGTGTAACGAAGATACGCTTTCGTTGCAACCGTGCTTCAGTCCACTCCCCTTAATATTCAGTTCAAGAGAACACTTGCCGGAGCCCTTTGGGAAGCATGGCTCCATCTGGTGAGAAACACTTATGGATGTGCAGCTTTCTCAACAGCCAGACAAGTTGTGCTGGAAGCTAACCAGGAATGGAGAGTTTACGGTTAAATTTATATATCTGTATGTTATCAACTCTAACTCTATTCCTAGTTCGAAATATGTTTGGAATGTCAAAGTACCTTCGAGAGTTAAAGTGTTTATGTGGTTTGTACACAAACAAGTCATTTTAACTAAGGACAACTTGACAAAGCGCAACTGGATTGGTTCTACGAGATGTTTTTTTTTTGTGATCGGAATGAGACCATCAAACACCTCTTTCTTGATTGTCTGATGGCAAAAATTTTATGGCAGACTGTTCATATTGCTTTTAATATTACTCCTTCGAATAATATCAACACGTTATTTGGGACGTGACTTGACGGGATAGATTCCCAAACAGCGAGACACATTCGTGTAGGAGTATGTGCTTTACTATGGGCAGTCTGGAACTGCAGGAATGATTTGGTTTTTCACAGAACAACAAATACTCATTTTTTGCAGGTTATCTTCCAAGCCACTGCGTTGATCCGTATGTGGTCGCTACTCGCTCAGACGGAGGTCAGGGAGTGTTTGGTTACTGGATCTATCCGATGGGAAATGGTAGCTCGGACTATATTCAACCGGTTTGGATGACGATCATGTAATAAGATAGGCAATTAGTTTTCCTATCTTTCTTGTGCCAGCCGGTTGCGGCTTTTCTTTTATCATTCCGCTCTTCGTGACCCTTTTTATGGTTCGTTTATTTGAGACTTCATGACTTTTGTTGAACTTATTTGCTTTATAATAAAGGTGGCAGTATGCATTGTTCTGAAGACAGAGGCCGGGGTTCTTCCTTTTTAAAAAAAAAAAATAGAGGAGGTGGCAGCGGTGCGAGAGCGGCAGGCTGAGATTGCACGGCTGGCCGTAGCGGACGACGATGATTGAGCGAGAGCGGATGACGATGATTGGTGCGAGCCAGAGAAGCGACACCCGGTGCGGGCAGCAACAGGGCGCGTGGGGTAATAGGAAGGTTGTTGTTGGATTAAACACGTTTCCTCCTGAGTCCGTATTGGATTCTACGTCAAAGGCTTTATATACCTCCCGCGTACGTTGTGTATCGGCTAGATTGCATAAGCGCGAGGAGCGAAACCGCAGCTCGCCGTCACGTGTAGCCGTCGCCCGAAAATACTTGGCATCTAGTCTGGGCCAACAAAACTGTCCTCGCGACCGAATCATCGTCATCGGGTGCTTGACGGAGATAGCGCCCGATCGATCGCGCGGAGGATGAGCAGACATAGGCTATTGCTATTGTTGGTGGCGTTGACGGCACTGGTGGTGTTGACGACGGCGGCGGAGTACAACGTGGTGGACTACGGCGCGAGGCCCGACAGCGGGGCGGACTCGGCAGGGGCGTTCCTGGCCGCATGGAGTGCGGCATGCAATGACACGGGACGCTCCGGCTCCCGGCCGGTGCTGCGGGTGCCGGCGGGCAGGTTCCTGCTCAACCAGGCCTACTTCAAGGGGCCTTGTCGGAGCGCCGGCGTGGACGTGGCCATTGATAACAACAGCACCATCTTCGCACCGCCGACAGTGGACAACAGGGCGTGGATCATGTTTCACCATGCCGATGGCCTGGCGATTCGTGGTGGGACGCTGGACGGGCAGGGGCAGGAGTATTGGGCGTGCAAGAAGGCCGGCAGGTGCACCGCCGGGCAGGGCCCCAGAGTGAGTGATGACATGAGCTTTTTGGTTTCTTTTTGCATCGTGATTCGATTCAGTATCCTTATGACGGACGCCGGCCATACATACTTATGATTGCAGACGCTTGACATTAGCCAATCCAAAGGCGTGATCGTGAAGCAGCTGACACTGCTTGACAGCAAGGAATTCCACATGACCATCTTCGACTGCAGCGGCGTGACGGTCCAAGGCGTCCGGATCATCGCGCCGGCCGACAGCCGCAACACCGACGGCATCCACGCCAGCCACTCCCGCCACGTGAGGATCCTCAACACCACCATCGGCACCGGCGACGACTGCATCTCCTTGGGGCCCGGCACCTCCGACATGCTCATCAGGGACATCAAGTGCGGTCCGAGCCACGGCATCAGGTGTCACCTTCAGTTGCCAGTTCATCATACATTATTTTTTGTTTGCTTGTGATTTGTGCAGTGTTTGATAGATAGCATTGGTTTTGTGTTTACGTTGAATGGACGGTGGCAGCATCGGGAGCCTGGGATGGCAGGACGGTGAGGAGGGGGTGAGAAACGTGACGGTGGACAGGGCGGTGCTGAAGGGCACGACCAACGGCCTGCGGATCAAGACGTGGGCGATGCCCAACTCCGGCTCCGTCACAAACGTCTCCTTCTCACGGGTCACAATGAACCGCGTGGCCAACCCCATCCTCGTCGACCAGAACTACTGCCCCCGCAAGGGCGACTGCCCGGGCAATGTACGTCTCCTTCCCTACATGCATGCAACTACACGTGATCGATCGACTATATCATGAGCTGTGTTGTTGTGTGTGCCTGCAGAGCTCGGGGGTGCAGATCAGCGACCCTACACGGACATCAAGGGCTCGTCGGCGACGCCCGTGGCGGTGAAGTTCAACTGCAGCGGCACCAACCCCTGCAGCGGGATCAAGCTCAGAAACATCAGGCTGAGGTACCGGCACCAGCGGCCGGCGCAGGCCAAGTGCCAAAACGCCGGCGGGTTCGCGTCCGGAGAGGTCACACCGCCGAGCTGCTTCTGACGATCAGAGTTCTCACTGGTTCGTGTACTACTAGTATACACCTTCCACGGTTGCGTAAGATAAAAAACATGGTCGTGTGATCATTGCTTGGTGGATCACAAAGCGACCCTTACATGTAGCCCAGGCTAGTAGTTTTAGCGGATTTACTGATTCTCAATTGACTGAGACATAGTTAAACCAGAATGAACGTCATAAATTTTGCATGGTTGTTCTTGTTGATTTTTTTGAGATTTTTTATTTGTTTTTGGAGATGGCGAATCTTGGTGTAAAATCCCATGGTTCTAATTTGTGAGCGTATATGTTTACGGGAGCCCGGAATTCAAAATAACTTACCCTGCAGGCGTGGCGTGTTGTGCCGTTTGGCGTAAAGCGTGTTGACAAATTTAAATCAAGTGGCCTCACTTCTCTCTCCACTCTAGAACTCTCTCAAGAACAGAAAAGGTTTAACTCTCTATTCCCGATACTGAGAGGGGGCCTATATAATCTTTGCCGACAGACTCCTCAACTTGCTAACTATGTCAAACAACAATTATTTTTAGCCTATAACATGCATATGTGTTGTTTTGTAGTATATCTTAGAGAAAAGTATACTTTTTGTCCCTAAACTTTTGAGGAAGTCTAGATTTAGTCATTCAACTTCGAAACGGACAACCAGCACCCCCAATTCTTAAAACCGGACAAATTTCGTCCCTCTACCAACCAAAGCTGTCTTTCTGCTGACTCGGCGCGGTTTTGATTGGTTCTAATACATGTGGCAATCTATTTCTCCCCGTTGATTTAGAGTCGCGCTAACTGCCACACGTGTGGCTGGAAGGGAGACGCACCACACGTCTCTAATGTAAACAGATTGCCACGTCATCGCATGCATGCATGCATGAATCTTTTTGGATTTTCAGTTTTTAAAATGTTTTATCTCTTAAACGAAAAATCCGATTGAAAATCCGTTTTCGCCATTAAATCCCTCGCGATGAGATCTTCGAAACTAGATCCCATGTTGATATGTTTTGATGAAATTTTTTTTAGATTAAAAGTTGCCATGTCTATTGCATATGAATTGCCATGATGTTTACACTGAAGTTGCCATGATATGTTTCAGCTATTTTCTTCTACATTTAAAAGTAAATTTTGACATTTATAAAATGGGGAATTAAGAAACTAGACTTGACATGAACCATAAACTAAAATTACCATGATACATGCACGTAAAATTGCCATGGTTCATACAAAAAATAATTTTCATGGTCAAAGTACTGGAGTTGCCATCATCAAAATACTAAAATTGCCATGATCTACGAACTAAAACTGCCACATGGCAACTTTAGTTTAAGTCCTATGGCAACTGCAGTGTAAACATCGTGGCAACTACTGGCAAAAAAAAAATTCGTCGAAACATATCAACATGGGTTCTAGTTTTGAAGATCTCGTCGAGACGGATTTAATGGTGAAAACGGATTTTTAGTTCGCTTTTTTATTTAGGAGATACAACATTTTTAAGCCGAAAACCAAAAAAAAAATCTGCTGATGTCATCTATTCATACGTGGCAAAATGAGTGATGATGAAGGCGTGTGGGCGATGTACAAACACCCACACGTGTGGGCGTTAACATTTTCGTTGATTTATCTATAGTGTGGGTATTCTATCAAGCACTTGGCGTCCAAGGTCTGGAGCTGTTGACGATGGTGAGCTCTTGGAGGAAGAGGAGCACGAGCGAGTCGATACCGCCGTCCATGGCCACGTTGACCAGTGACTCCATCACCACCGCACCAAGATTCATCGTCGGAGGACTTCATGGGGAAGACCGTGGAGCGGGTGCATTCGAGGAGCGAGGTTGTCCGGCTACAGGGATCGAGCAGCGGCGGCAGTCAAACTCGTCCTCACGGCCCTCGTACTGGAGCCAGAGGACGAGGCGACGCAGCGGTGCAGGTCGCCGACGTCGAAGCTACGTTGAAACCCGCACCATGCTCATCGCAAAGCACGGAGGCCGAGCTTGACGGCACGCGTGCTCACTCCACAAGTTCATCTGACTACGCGCGCTCGTGGAGCGGGGTACGGTGCCTCACTCGTGTAGGCTCTGGGCGACGTAAGGCATCAACAGCACCGTCGTTGGCAGCGACAAAAGCACACGGTGAGCACGAGGACGGCGAGGAGGACCTATGCGCGGAGGCCGGGCAGGGGGGTGCGCGGCGATAGGTAGTTGGTGGTGGCCTTTGTATCCGGTGGCCTAGCGCACGACCCGAACATGTACACACATGCATGCAGATATGCATCATGCCCACGACATGCACATTTTTCGATAAAGTGCGATTTTATTAATTTAAAATGTAGCATCAAGTGGATACAAAGCATTATGAGTAACACTCGGCCTCTGCATAACTAGGATGCACACAGCCAAATCCGAAAGTCCAACCAAAAAAACATCAAATAAAAATCGACAAAACGGCAATAGTAGAGTCTTATAGACCGACACTATGCCTATGTCGAAGGAGGTGGTGGGTCGATTCGAAGGTTATGCTGCCACGGCATGCACATTTACAAGGAAAAATAAACATGCCACTAAACTAGCTAAGACACGAATGATCATGCTAACACGTCAGACAAGCACAGCTCGAACACTTCCTCCAGCTGCACATCATCCGTGTCTTTCAGCGCAGGCGCACCTGAACCCGGACACGAGCACTGCAAGCTTCGGCATCCCCGACGCAGAGTGCCGACGTTCAGAGCCACCACGGCCAAGGGGTTGACACGGCTAAACACTACACTATCGCCAGGTTGCCGCAGCGAGCACTCTGTCAATGAGGACAGCAGCAACGGAGACGACGTCGAGCTGCGCTGCTCCCCCGACGAGCCCGGCGACCCGTCCACTTCGCAGGACTTGAACGCAAAGGGCAAGCCGTGCACCAAGCCGAGCGAGAGCGGCGAGTCCGACGCAGCACCAGCACGCCCCGACGCACGCCGTGCGAGTTTCTGCTTGTGGTGATGATGGACATGGTGCGACAGAGGCAGGTCGTTGGTAGCGGGGTGGCAGGCATTGCACGCCAAATGTTTGTCAAATGTCCATACCATACATAGTAGATGGAAGGAAAGAATTACCTTGCCACGTGGGCACCACAACTTGGTCAAAACCGGAGTGAGTCAGCGTCAAAATACAGTCGGTTGGGTTGAGGGACGAAACTTATCCGGTTTCAAGAATTGAGGGTGCAAATTTTGTTTGCGCAAAAAAATGAAAAAAAAATTTGCGAGAGTCATGATTTTGTTTTCGCGAGAGGCACGGTCGTGCCTCTTTCGGAAACAAAAAAACACGTTTTCTATTTTTTTTCTTCCGCAAGAGGCACGGTTGTGCTTTCGCGAGAGGCACGGGCGTGCCTCTTTCGGAAAGAAAAAAAAACGTGTTTTCTGTTTTTTTCGTGAGAGGCACGGTTTTGCTTCCGCGAGAGGCACGGGCGTGCCTCTTTCGGAAAGGAAAAAAAAGGCGTTTTCTGTTTTTTTTTTCGCGACAGGCACGGTTTTGCTTCCGCCAGAGGCACGGTTGTGCTTTCGCGAGAGGCACGGGCGTGCCTCTTTCGGAAAAGGAAAAAAATGCATTTTCTGTTTTTTTCTTTCGCGAGAGGCACGGTTTTGCTTCCGCGAGAGGCACAGTTGTGATTTCGTCAGAGGCACGGGCGTGCCTCTTTCGGAAAGGGAAAAAAACCCGTGTTCCCAGTTTGGTTTTTTCGTCGGTTTTTACCGTCCGGTTTTTTCATGAAAAAAAAGTTCGTCAAAACCTATCAACATGGGATCTAGTTTTGAAGATCTCGACGCGAGGAATTCAATGGCGAAAGCGGTTCGAGATTTGGATGCACGGTTTAAGAGATAAAACGTTTTGAATAAACGGATCTACAAAAAAAGGGAAAACTCCCAGGTTGCTACAAGTGGCGCACATGCAGCGCGCCACTTGTCGCAACCTGGGGAAGTTGGAGTGATCTCCGCAAGGAGTACTCCTTAATTAGTGATTTTGGCAAGAAGCGCACCGATTCATTCTTAAAAGTGTCTCTAAAAATGTAACTATTTCTCAAAAAAGTAACCAGGCTAAAAAATATTACTCCTAAAAGGATTACAAGAGTCTTAGCCATGGCAGACTCAACATAACCCATCCTGCAAAAAAAATAAAAGGATTCAACACAAACCACACAAATCTACTACAGTTCATTTCATCAGCTTGACATGCAAAAAATTAAACACAGATATAGACCCTGCAGGTACCTTCCTGAAGCCCCCGTAGCCCCAGATAAACAGAGGAAACACTAGTAGAAAAAGGGCCTTTAGTCCCGGTTCATAAGGGCCTTTAGTCCCGGTGCTGGAACCGGGACTAAAGGGTCATTACTAAAGCCTCCCCCTTTAGTCCCGGTTCTTACACGAACCGGGACTAAAGGC